GTCTTGATGCGGAGGCGACGGAGGCACTCCGTGACCTACGTCGCCTGCGGCTGGAGGTGGGCGAGGCAGCGAGAGGGATGGTGCAAGAGAGCCCCCGACAGTGCTGACAAGCTCGGTGATGCGGTCCAGCCAGTCGTCGTAGAGGTCGTCGACCGAGCGCTAACGCGGTAGCTCGCGTGCCATGAGAAGCGCGGCTTGCGCGTCCGCAGGCGTGACACGAGCGTGGGATGACGAGCCGGCTGGAGTCAGCGACGGGGTGGCGGTGCGTTCGTCCCGCGGCACGGAGGGGTGCAGCGATGAGACCTGCTGCTCGTTAGCCGTCGGGCCGGTGACGGCATTGGCAGCGGGTGACGGAGAACGGCGGAGAGGTCCGCTAACGGGCGCCGTCTGAGCGACGCCGGCAGCGAGGGCGGCCCGACGCTCAGCACTGGCTCGGTGAGCGTTAGACATGGATGTGGTGGAGCAGTCGAGCGCGAATCAACGGAAGAAGGGCTTCAGCGCACCCCTACCTGGTGCGCCAAATGTCGGATTGTGGGTTCCGGCAAACCCTTGAGGTTCAAACACTGGGGTGCGCACGAAGATCTCTCTCTCCCTCGCTCACTCATGCAACGATCTCTAGGCCTAACTCGCCGAACCCAAGGAACAAGTGACACGAAAGTTTATACTGGTTCGGGTCACCGTTGTGGTGTAATACCCTACTCCAGTGTGGTGTGGTGGATTGCCTCGAGGGCTGAGGATGAACTAATACAGTGGACAAACAGCCTTATGAGGAGAGGTGTTCTTGAGCTCGATGAGCTGGTGAAATAGCCTTGGTGGAGTGGATCCGATTCACATGAGACGATCCTTGACTACGGTAGTGGATAGCCCTATTTATAGAGGCCCTGGTCCTCTTCCCAAATGTTTAGGCGGGAAGGGATCCCAAGACGGTCAATTTCGAAGGGAGACAACTAATACAAGTTATCCTGACAAAAGGTGGTCTTCGTCTGCCAAAGGCTCTGGTGGTGACGACGCCGTGGGCTCCGGGGTGACCTCCGTTCTGCCGTCCTGCTGGTCTTGATCTTGTTGCACCGATATGAAAATCTTTGTCTGATGCCTCATGATTCCTCACATGTGCCTGCTTCCTTAGCACCAAATAGGAAACTGGCATCTTGCGTCCGCTGGCGCCCGCCTGGCCTTCGTCGTCATGGCTCACGTCACGTGGACCTCGCAAGGTGCACCTTGCATATAGGGATGGCAATGGGTCGGGTTTGGGGCGGGTGGAGCTGGTCCACATCCAACCCATGACCCATCTTCCTACCCTCTGCCCATCTACCAAATTATCCATGGGCACAACTTGTGCCCATGCCCAAACCCGCTGGATACCCACATACCCACGAAGCTCCTTGGGCATAGAAAAGTCAGCATGAAGCCTTCCCAAAGGTCAAATTAACTCATCATCATTCACTCACAAATGACAACATAAACTACATGCAAAAGTAGGCAACAAGTAATACAATGAGCCCTCAAGTGTGACATATCAGAGGTTGATTCTGTAGCATATAACTTATGGTACCAGTTGCATATTGCCTTCCATTTCCCATTGATTCGCTCTTTCTACTGTCACTGGCATATGGCCCCACATGTCATACAGGTATCCATTGGATATCCATGGAGCACAAAATATAACCATGCCCAACCCGACTGTTCGTGGGTATCCATATCCATGAACCCATGGGCAGAAATGCGCCCCATACCCTTGCCCAACTGGATCGGGTATCCATGGGTAACCAGATCCGTGGATAAAATTGCCATCCCTACTTGCATAGATATCTCCGCTCCTCAGGAGCCAGCCTAGCGAGGCCGCCCCGGAGGAGGTCTTGGCGTCGTCCGCCTCGCGAGGGTCTTGGGTGCTTGCTGGTGAAGATGGAACGTACCAGACCGTTGGTGGAGCCACGCCCTGGGCCGCAAGCAAGCAAGTCTGGGTACCCCCGTTCCCAGGACGCCGACAGGGGGTACTGGACGGCGGCGAATGCGGTGAGGGCGTGCGCTGGGCGGGTAGCCATGCGGGAAGGTGATGTTGGGGTTGAACCCGCCGTGTGCGTCGCCGTCGGCGTAGCCAGTCGAGGGCGCGCACCCCCAGGGGTGTGTCGACGGCGAGAAGCCGGCCGGCGACCCGACGCTCTGCTGGCTCCAGGGAGCGTGCAGGCCGTGGCCGCCGGGTGGATTCATCATCTCCGCGCGAGACACCTCTTCTTGCTCCGCCGCACGAGACGCCTTCGCCTGCTCCGTCGCCGCCCTATCCCGGGCCCTCTTGGCGTTGAGCATGTTCTGCCGGTTGGTGCTGACAGCCTCCCGGCACTGAGCCTCCGCCTTCCAGTCGGCGTTCGACATGCCCGGTGATTTGGACGGCGGCGCCCTCGGCTTCCTCTGCTTCGGTTGGGTGGCATCGATAGCGGTAGCAGCATGAGGGGTCGTGTACTTCGGCGGTGGCGGGCGGATGGAGGGAAGATGGAGGAGAATGGCGGGAGAAGAGGGGCAGAAGGGAGGAATGGAGGGAAACGGAGACCCCCGGGGGTTTGGGTTCGGCTCGGGTTCGCCGGCTATTATTTCGGCCCAAACTGGCGATAAACAAGGCCCTGGGACGCGACTGGACCGATTTTTCGATACCGACGCTTAAAAAAAGCCGTGAGGGGCATATTGAAAGCGCGAGTGAAGATGCTCTAAGGAAGAAAAGAAAAACTAAAAGAAACCCGCGGATATAGCATTGTCCATGCGGTAGAAAAATTACGTCAATCCGTTGAGATATGATATACGACAAGTGAATATTTGGTACATACTCTCGAAAGAAAATTGCGAAACTCTTTGCCCCGTTTGGCGGCGGTGGGCAAATGGGTGCTCGCGTGGCCCTCGTGAGGCGCCGCCACCACCGCTCACCTTCCGCTACCCCACCACTCTCCCCGTGGACTCATTCCCTCGCATCTCCGGCTTAGGATCGGTCGGGCGCTCGCTCACCTCCCACAGTCCCTGACCAGGTGAAAGAGAAGAGGAGCAGCTGCGGTCCAGCCGTGGTGAATTTCTCCTCCTCCTCCTCGACAACACACAGGTGCTGTCGATGTCATGTGCTCGCTGATCGTCTTCCCGCGACGTCCGTCGGTTCCTGCTCGCCTCGGGCAACCGCTGTGTGTTGTTCCCTGTTGCTGCTGAGTGCTGGGCTGTAGTCTGTTTGCTGTTGATGTATGATTCAATCCAGTAGCATGTACAGTACTCCGGAGTACTCGTAATTAGCAAGTAATCCGGTATGCTGTTGATGAAATAAACATGTACTCCTGCATATATCCCCAATGGCTGTTGATGTACGATCCATGAAGCTCTGCTAATGAATTAGCTACTGGTGGATCCTAGGAAGAAAAAAATTGTTGCACAGAATGCCCAAGGGTAGTTATAAAACTGTTGCAAACGATGCTCATAGCAGCTCAAGAACAAGTGAAATTCACCTAGGCCAACCAATTCCATATTTAGGTATTTGCTGGGTTAAGTATTTGGTCCCCAAATTTTCACGCATTATGGTGGTGAGCTAAAACCATCATAAGCGAATTATTGCCAAATTGGTAGAAAAGGAAACATTAGTACTAAAAAAGCACACACAGAGTTTATGTCTGGTTGGACCAAGTGGTTTCTGATCATGCATTCTTGATGCAGGTGCAAGCAGGAGGCGAACGCAAGCGTATGTTGGTGTGTAGAGGTGACCATTTTTGGCTTCTCAAGCAACCTGCAAGCACGCATCACACTATTTCAGTGAATGTATGTGTAAGCATCCTAAGAATACGTCCCACTGTGCAAAGGTTGTGTGAACATTGGTCACTCTACTCTTATCTAGGCTGGGCCGGCAATAGATTGAATGCAAATCAAATATTGATCTTCATGTGTTTGCAGGCATATTTTAATTATGATGATTACCAAATGATTCCTGCAGTTGTTTTGTTTCAAATGCGATTCTTGGATAGAGATTGAACTCGTACTCCAAACGAATGTACGCTGGGTCTGGTCGAACTGCAACATCTGCCTAATTTATTTTCACATTAAACGCAATTCAGCATTATAATACGATGTATTATGCTCATAAAACATGTAGATTCTAAATTACAATGACTTATGGCTGGTTAGATAGTCTACAAAAAAAACTCAATGTTCAATTTGAATTCGGAAAAGCATAGAGAGACGCTCCAAACAAGAAAATTTAGAATATACTCAAATTTATGTTCTATTGTCGGATTTTAGCACAAATTATTATTTTCTGTTCATGTTTGTGAAAATTTTATTTGCATTCTACAGGATTTGGATACTTCTTACTCCCTCCGTTCCACAATGTAGTGCGTATATATTTTTGAAAAGTCAAAATTTACAAACTTTGACCATATTTATAGAGAAAAATAGGTACATCTAGAATACCAAATACATATCGTTGGATACATCATGAGCTATATTTTCATAATGTACATGTTTGGTATTTGAAATATAGATAGTTTTCTCTATAAACTTGGTCAAAGTTTGCTAAGTATGACTTTCAAAAAAATCTATATGCACAACATTGTGGAACGGAGGGAGTACTATTTATTTCTGCACCTACCTGTAGGTTACTCTATCATACTAGATATCTTTGTGTTTCAAGAGCTTGTATTCAAATTTCTGAAGGGCGTATTTTCCCCCCACGCTAGAGGAATATATATTGGCGTATTTGGGACTCAACTAACTTTAATCCCGTAGGAACTGTTTCTTTTTCAGTGCAACAAAAAGAGGTTGAAAACCTTGCACAAGCCGTCAGGTCAGAAGTAACAAGAAAAACAAAATGAAATCAGTCTCCTCTCCTCCATTTAGTACTAGTACTAGTCCGACTACTAGTACTCCAGTCCAACTGCTCACTCTACCTCCCACCTCAGCTTGTACGTAAGTGTGGGCAGAATCAAAGTATTGCCAAACTCTAAACTCAGCGTTGAAAGTGGTGTTGGTGGATTGATAAGTTGATGTATCTAATGGCATACATGCCTTCCTGCGGCACCTTCCATGCACCTTTAGTGTCTTCTTGCCTGAGGAGGAAATTCACAGTGGTGGCCACGGCTTCCAAGGCCAAGTGAGTTCTGCTCTTCCTCTTCATCATGCAAAAACTTTGTGGTTGGTTATATATTCCTGTTCTGTTCTTGAATCTTGCTCGGAGTGCTTGTGTCGGCTCCGTGATCTTGGTTGAGCTGATATTTTGCTACTTGGACACCAGAGATGGCAAGTGGTTATTCTGTCTTGGGAATGAATGAATCTTTGATTTTTCCAACGGGCTTCCTGTAGGTTCCCTAGATTGAACTGAATTTGGTCATAAAAGAATATGTTCATTTGTTTTCGGTCATTTATCTGTTTGCTGATGCTTTTATCATCGTAATCTTGCTTTAATGTACTTGTGGATATTGGAGAGTCGAGTTTTGAGAAATTTTCACTCTATGCCTTATTTCAAGCTGATTTAGTTATTGACAAGTAGTTTTCTCTTCTATTTTTGTTTTGTTTTGTTTACGGAGCGAGCTATTATTTCTTGCATACAGTGTTTTTTTGCTTTGTTGTCTTTGGACAGATGTATGTTTAAATCCTACAGTTCAGTTGCATGGCATGCAACTTTTGTGTATGCCCCTTTTTTTTATTTTGTTAGTTGAATGATTGTGAGAAGCAGATTGGGTGTTATTTGCATTTTTTTGCTGGTCTCCTGCTCGGTTCTGTAGTCGTGGAGGCCAGATCACTCACCTGCAGGCCATGGCATTCAAAAGGCGTGAAGTACTAGTGTAATGAAGTTACGTGCTTGAGCTCATTACGTTTTCCTCTTGCATGTAGTTGCAAATAGCATGCCATGCTGCTCGAAAAGAGTATCTGAGTAGCATCGATGATTTATTTCATGGAAATTAGCACTTAGTTTTGGACCCATTGGCACAGCTCACAAGCTCTTGAATTTGCATGAACTAGTGTAAATTTGCTGGGAGTAAAAACATACTAGGTCTTTCATCAATCTGGATAGTCTTTCTTTTTCGAGCTTTAATCTGATTATTTAGTTGTGTTATATTACCCATTTTCCCATTACTCTTGTGCATTATAAGTTACTTTGTCTGCTTACGAAGGGTTGGAACTCCCAAAAAGGCCTCCACTCAAGTCCGATTCACGCAACCATTCCCACCTGAAAAGAAGGAAATTTTCGATTCATTGGAACGCTGGGCAGAGGAAAACATCCTGGTCCTGTTGAAGCCAGTAGAGAAATCATGGCAGCCGCAGGACTACCTACCAGACCCTTCCTCGGATGGATTCTATGATGAAGTCAAGGAGTTGAGGGAACGGGCCAAGGAGATCCCGGATGACTACTTGGTCTGTCTGGTTGGAGACATGGTCACTGAGGAAGCACTCCCTACTTACCAGACAATGCTCAATATTCTCGATGGCGGTGTCGGCGACGATACTGGCACCAGTCCAGCCAGCTGGGCTGTCTGGACGAGGGCATGGACGGCCGAGGAGAACAGGCACGGTGATCTCATGAACAAGTACATGTACCTCACTGGGAGGGTTGATATGAGGCAGATTGAGAAGACCATACAGTATCTCCTTGGTGCTGGAATGGTAAGCACGCACTTGGTGTCTGATTCCTGAATTTCCTTTTTTATCTCAACCTCCATTTTTCTTGCTTCCTTTTTGCTGTCAAAGAAGGGAAGGTAACAAAATTGCTATTGTCGAATAACATTTGGGACCCTTGCTGTATTTATTTATTTTTATAATTGGTTCACAAAATTAATCACAAGGATTACAATTATGTCCCGAATGGGGAAAGACCCACAATTTGTCAACATATGCATACACTTGCTAGTTGAATGGAGTGCCATTTTGTTGTTGTAAGTTACCTTGTGCTCTTCTTGTAGGATCCAAAAACCGAGGGCAACCCATATGAGGGTTACATCTACACATCTTTCCAAGAGAGGGCAACCTTCATATCTCACGGCAACACTGCAAGGCACGCCAGGAAGTACGGGGACCTGAAGCTGGCTCAGATATGTGGCACCATCGCGGCCGACGAGAAGCGCCATGAGACGGCCTACACCAAGATTGTGGAGAAGCTCTTCGAGGTCGACCCCGACTACACGGTGCTGGCCTTCGCCGCCATGATGAGGAAGAAGGTCACGATGCCCGCCCACTTGATGTACGACGGGCAGGACGACAACCTGTTTGAGCACTTCAGCGCGGTGGCTCAACGGCTGGGCGTCTACACCGCCATGGACTACGCCGACATCCTCGACTTCCTGGTCCAGAGGTGGAACGTGGCCAACCTCACTGGGCTGTCCGGGGAAGGGAGGCGGGCTCAGGATTTCCTCTGCTCACTGGGACCAAGGTTCAGGAAGCTGGAGGAGCGAGCTCAGGGCAGGGCGAAGCAGTTACCGGTTGTTCCTTTCAGCTGGATCCATGGCCGGCAAGTGCAACTTTGAGTGGCATTGCTAAACAATTATAAGACAATTTGTTCTTCTTATTTTCAAAATATGAAGCAACTGTTGACTTGTACTACTATAAACATATCTACTCTGCATGTGCCAAAGAAGCTTAAAATAACATAATTATATCATGAACACATCCAGACTTTTTGTTTGTTTGTTTGTTTGTTTGTTTGTTTCAGTTGTCCATTTTGAATATTGGATTTGGACATGTATAGTCATCTAAGAGCATCTGCAGCAGCTCCCATCTACCCAAATGTTTTTTGGTGATCACCTAAAAAACTTCTCATCTTCCCCTAATAACCAAATTGACATTGGCGGGAGCCAACCACCCGAGACTTCATGCCACGGCACGCCCGCAGCCAGATGCCTGCCTCACCGCCGACCATTGTAGAGAGAGGGGATACAGGCTAAGTACTCCCTCCGTTCCAAATTACTCGTCGCAGAAATGGATCTAGAACTAAAATACATCTAGATACATCCATACCCGCGACAAGTAATTCGGAACGGAGGGAGTATATGTGAAGTTGTATTGGGGATATGCTGCGGCTACACACCTTTCAAACCCAATAAATTTATTACGAGAGCCCCAATAAGCATTTATAGGGGAAGGTTTTTTGGAAAGCTGCTGGAGATGCTCTAAAATTTGACTAGTTCTCGACAGTAACATGGGCAATATCAGGTGCTCCCAAGCCTCCTGTGCTCCGGTCATACAAGCCCACGTGGGTCGTTGGATCTCAGATGAAGGGTTAGGGATGGAGCTGCTAAACTTGCACATAATTACTGGACTCTTGCGGAGTTTTCTGCAAAATTGCGAGAGCTCGATCCAATGGCCGAGCTCCTTCGGGAGCACCTGATATTTCAAAAACTCTGAGCCCTCACAAAGGGTACATCTTTACAAAGTAGGCGAACTCCGAGCCAAGTGGTTGAAGGTTATCAAGTGACTTTTAATCATTTAGGAAATGCACACCTTCAAGAGTAACAGAGCAAAACAAAGGCATTTGGTAGAACTCTTGAAAAGATCTTTCATTAAAGCTTTCTTCAAGAACACATACCCGTAGGATCTCTCTCACAAAAAGGATATGGATTGTAACGCCCGGATGATTTGGCTACAGTAAAACTTTCCTAATGATGCCATGTCATCTGCGATTACTATTACTAATCTCGGAATAATTCGAAAACGCGTCAAATTCAAACTTAAAATTAAGGTCGACAATAAAAGTTTTCAAAATTGAAACAAAAATGTTCGGTGGACGCCAAATATTACAAAGGTAATTATGGTGCAGAAAACACATTTTTAATAAAAGACTAAATACTTTAAAATGAAATAAAACAGAAAAGAAAAAAAGGAAAGAGAAAGGAAAACCCCCCAAACCCCCCTGGGCCATCTGGCCCAGCTAACCCACCTGCCCCATCCGGCCGAACCGGCCCGCCTCCCCCTGCCGCCTCCCTTCCCTGTTCCCCCGACCCGGGTCGGAACAGGGGCGCGTCCCCGCCTCACCCTCTCGCCGGCGACGACGAGGGGATAAGGTCGCCACGCCGCGCCCCCTCGGTCTCTCCTCCCACTCGCCCCACTCTCCCCTCGGTCCCCGCGCCTTCCCCCTTAGATCCACCGCGCTCCCCCCTCGTTCCCCTCTGTAACCGAGCACCACCGCCGCCATGGCTCCGGCCTAGCCACGGCCACCGTGCCCACCTCGCCGCCCCACGGTGTCTCCAAGGGCCGCCGTCGTCCGCTGCTTCGACTGGTGCTCCCCGTTGGAGACCGGAGCCACCGCAACGCCCTGACGCCGCCTTCGTCTTCCTCTGCTCCGACAAACTCTGCCGCCGTTCTTCACCGACTCCGGCCGCGCCCCTGCAGCTACTAAACCCCCAAGGGCCATCGTGTGCGCCGCTCGATGAGCCGCTGCTCCCTCCTCTCTCTCTCTCTCTCTCTCTCTCTCGTGCGCCCTAGCCAGCTGCCGCCGAAGTACCCGAGAGCCCGTCGCCGCGGATCGCCTCGCCGTCGTGGCCGTACTCTCCGTCGTGCTCGCCTGAGCACGGCATCTTGTTCCTGGTGCCCCCAGGAACCCAACGCACCCGCTCGCGCACTGCTCCGTGGCCGCTAGCCCCTAGCTCGATGAACACCCGAACGCATCGCCGCACGCGCCCGTCGCCGGCAGCCGTCCGGTGACCATTTGGTCCCGGGCTCATGCCTGTCGTGCTCGCACACGCCCGTAGAGGCCTCCTGGCCGTTTAGGGTACTTGCTGCCGTGCCGCAGCGCCGTTTCCCTCTCGAGGCCGAACGCCGGCGTCCGCCCCGCTCGTCACCGGTGACGCTGCGGCCCTCCTCCTGCCACGCCACCGCCCCCCTAGATGCGCCTCTGCGCGCTCGTTCGAACGAGCCCAGGCGCGCGCGGATCCGTGCCCTGTGCGCAATTTCCGGCGAACTCCGGCGGGTCTGCGCCGTGCTTTTGGTCGCCGGCGGCGAGGGCCGGCCCTGCTGACCTGGCACCGCGGGTCCCACCACCTGGGCCACTGACTGGTGGGCCCAGGGCCCCCTGTTGACCTGTTGACTGGGTCAGCTGCTGACTGGGCCGCCCCTATCTCACTGACCTATAGGCCCCACTTCAATAAACGAAATAAATAAAAAGAATAATTGGTTAACTAAATAGTTAGCTAATTAAAACCCTATTCTCTCACTAATTGCTGGGTCCCACCCTCTAATTAACCTGTTTAGTTAGTCTAAACCCCCTGTTAATGCCCCTGACAATGACATGTGGGTCCCACTTGACCCACCTGTCTGGTTTGACTGGTCAACCGACCAATTGACCTGCTGACATCACTCTGATGTCATGCTTACGTCACCACACACTGTTTTGGATAATGTTGGAATTAAATATATAATTAAAATCAGAAAATGATTTAAATCTTTAGAAAATCATATCTTTTAATCCGTAACTCGGATGAAAATACTTTGTACATGAAAGTTGCTCAGAACGACGAGACGATTCCGGATACGCAACCCGTTCGTCCGCCACACCTCCCTAACCTATCGAACTCGTAACTTTCCCCCTCCGACTACTCTGCCCAAAAACGCGAAACACCGGGGATACTTTCCCGGATGTTTTCCCCCTTCACCGGTACCACCTCGTACCGCGTTAGGGCACACCTAGCACCACGCTTTGTCATGTCATGCATCGTCATGCATTTGTTTGCATTATATTTATTGTTTCTTCCCCCTCTTCTCTCGCTAGACACCGAGACCGACGCTGCTGCTACCCAGTACGACTACGGTGTTGACGACCCCTCTCTCTTGCCAGAGCAACCAGGCAAGCCCCCCCCTTTGATCACCAGATATCGCCTACTCTTCTCTATACTGCTTGCATTAGAGTAGTGTAGCATGTTACTGCTTTTCGTTCATCCTATCCTGATGCATAGCCTGTCCTTGCTACTACTGTTGTTACCTTTACCTGCAATCCTAATGCTTAGTATAGGATGCTAGTTTATCATCAGTGGCCCTACATTCTTGTCCGTCTGCCATGCTATACTATCGGGCCGTGATCACTTGGGAGGTGATCACGGATATATACTATATACTTTATACATGATACATGTGATGACCAAAGTCGGGTTGGCTCGAGGAGTACCCGCAGTTGATTCACGAATTGGGGGCTGGAAGGACATACTTTCCCGATGGCCCTCTGTGTGGATCTTTGTGGCGAAGTGACAGGGCAGGTTGAGACCACCTAGTAGAGAGGTGGGCCTGGCCCTGGTCGGCGTTCGCGGTTATTTCAAAATAACACGCTTAACGAGATCTTGGTATTTGATCTGAGTCTGGCCACTGGCCTATACGCACTAACCATCTACGCGGGGACAGTTATGGGCACTCGACGTCGTGGTATCAGCCGAAGCCTTCGTGACGTCAGCGACTGAGTGGCGCGCGCGGATTGGACTGGAACGCCTACTAGGCTAGGTCTGCTTCCGGCCGCGTTCGCAACGTGCAGGTGTGCAAAGGGCGATGGGCCCAGACCCCTGCGCCATAGGATTTAGACCGGCGTGCTGACCTCTCTATTGTGCCTAAGTAGGGCTGCGACGTGTTGATCTTCCGAGGCCGGGCATGACCCAAAAAAGTGTGTTCGGCCAAATGGGATCGAGCGTGTTGGGTTATGTGGTGCACCCCTGCAGGGAAGTTAATCTATTCGAATAGTCGTGATCTTCGGTAACAGGACGACTTGGAGTTGTACCTTGACCTTATGACAACTAGAACCGGATACTTAATAAAACACACCCTTCCAAGTGCCAGATACAACCGGTGATCGCTCTCTCACAGGGCGACGAGGGGAGGATCATCGGTTAGGGTTATGCTATGCGATGCTACTTGGAGGACTTCAGTCTACTCTCTTCTACACGCTGCAAGATGGAGGTGGCCAAAAGCGTAGTCTTCGACAGGAGTAGCTATCCCCCCTCTTATTCTGGCTTTCTGCAGTTCAGTCCACCGATATGGCCCTTTACACATTTACCCATGCATATGTAGTGTAGCTCCTTGCTTGCGAGTACTTTGGATGAGTACTCACGGTTGCTTTCTCCCTCTTTTCCCCCTATCCCTTCTACCTGGTTGTCGCAACCAGATGTTGGAGCCCAGGATCCAGACGCCACCGTCGACGACGACTCCTACTACAGCGGAGGTGCCTACTACTACGTGTTGCCCGCTGACGACGACCAGGAGTAGTTTAGGAGGATCCCAGGCAGGGGGCCTGCGCCTCTTTCGATCTGTATCCCAGTTTGTGTTAGCCTTCTTAAGGCAAACTTGTTTAACTTATGTCTATACTCAGATATTGTTGCTTCCGCTGACTCGTCTATGATCGAGCTCTTGTATTCGATCCCTCGAGGCCCCTGGCTTGTAATATGATGCTTGTATGACTTATTTTATTTGTAGAGTTGTGTTGTGATATCTACCCATGAGTCCTTGATCTTGATCGTACACATTTGCGTGCATGATTAGTGTACGGTCAAATCAG